TTTATAGCTATTTTCTTGACTTTTGTACTCGACTTTTACCTCTCAGGGCATAAAAATTTGGGAAAATTATAACTAGTACTTTCTTAGGAAAAGTTTAGGGACCTCTGCATAATAAACTGCATCTTGATACCCAATCTTAATAATTAATTTTAGCCTGTTTCTTATTTTTCAAAATTAATGAAACATGTCATAGCCTGTCAGTACAAATTAACCAATGATACTCTGAGTCAAAAGTAAAGAAACTTGATGTTTTATTTAAGCTGGTTAGTCTAAAACTTGATATGTGATTTCTTTTAGACTTTTTAAAATTTTGTTAAGAGTTAACCCCCTGCATTTTTAAGATTTTGTGAGAGTCAGATATTGCAGGGACTACTTTACAGTAAAGTCTTGATTAACCTGAACTTAATTGATTTAGTGCCTTAATTAAGAATTTTAAAATATGTTTAAAGAGGGGAAGAAGCAATGCTTGGCTCTTAAGATCATCATAAATCACTGGAAAAATCTAGAATCAAGATTTTGGTTACCAAAACAATCTCAAAGATAAGACAGAGGGAACACACATATGTGGCAATGTACTATACTGCCCATCCACCCATCAGTCTATCTGCCTACCCATCTGTCATTTATCCACTCATGCATCCATCTACCCATTCATACATATATCTGCCCATCCATCTATTCATGGATCTAGGATGCAGTGCAGTGAACATTCTTACCAAATTTAGACTTTGAGATACTACTTATAAAAGAATTCATTTAACATCTTTATACTAAAATGCAAGAATTTCTGATTTTCTTTTTTATCAAAAATAACACACATAAAATAGATTCCCGATTAAGTCTTAGAAAACTGGAAAAACAATTTATCTACTGATTGCCTACTGTATTTAGATTCTACCAAAAGTACAAAGGATGTAAAATGAGGTCCATCTCTCAAGGAGATTATAAATTTAATTGGGAAGACAGGGCTACATATACAGAAATTAAATAGTGATATGAGAAATAAACAATAACAGAGGAAGTATTTCAATTAAAATTTTGCCACATAGTGATATAGTTTATACGTGGGTATTTATATGCCCGCATATATATGTGGATATTTTAACCACAGATCCCTCTGGTTCGCATTTAGAGTGGTGCTCCCCAACCTTTTTGGCACCAGGGACCATAAATGGAAGACAGTTTTTCCATGGACCCGGGTGGGGGTAGGGGTGGGGAAGGTGGAGCTCAGGTGGTGATGCCAGTGATGGGGGAGGCCCCTGTAAATACAGATGAAGCTTGGCTGGCTTGCCCACCACTCACCTCCTAATGTGCAGGGGGGTTGGGAGACTTTCGTAAGTTTCATAGAAGATAATTTTTCCTGGCCGGGGCGGGGAGGGGGCGTGTGGGGGCGGTGGAGCTCTGCAGCCTAGTCCCTAACAGGCCGCTAACTGGTACCAGTCAGTGGCTCAGAAGTTGTTGACTGCAGATTTAGAGGATCTTGTTTGTGGATTTCAAGGCCTTTCTACCTAATCATTCTTGTCTCTTGCTATTTATTGTAAGCTGTATATCACCGTGATAGTAAGTTCATCATGCTGTTAGTGATTATGACTCTTGGGTAAAATCAGAGCAGAAAGTGTTAGGATAAAATTCCTTTATTCACTGAGTGTAATTGAAATTTACTCTTTCATGATTGTTTCTAAATCCCAAGTCTTATAAAGTGTAAGTCCGCCTTTTATTTTGGGTTTTGTTTTGCCCTTTTAATATTTTTAAAAAAAAACCAAACTCCAATGCTAACAAGAGAAATCAAGGTTGTCTATTGTTTGGAGTTTTTCCATTTTCTTCTTTAGCTGACTGATTAATCTTTAATCAGTTAATTTTTAGACTGCAGTTAAATCCTTAGTCTGTTGTTTATTCGTTTTGTGTTTTTTAACCATGTAACTTTTGATTTCCAAATCAATTTAATGAATCATGATTGCCAGGGTATCTTGCTAGCAGGTGGTCATGTCTTAAGATTGGTTCATTGGTGGACATGATGTCAATTCTGAATGGTTATATTCTAGAACATCATTATTATCTTGATATTTCATGATATCCAGAAAAGTGGGATGTGACCACTGATTGTTTTGTTCAAGAAACTAGGTGTGAGATACTTTGGTTTATGCCTTGCAGACCTGAAGAAGCTAGCAAATGCCATTGCTTTACTTTTTAATGTGATTTGTATGGAACTTGATTTTAAGTTGTCATCATATTGTCTGATGTCCTCCCAAAGAGTATGTTAACTTCCTAGATTTGGTTTTCATCTTTTCACCTTATTGATTAGTTTAAGCAGCATAATTTTGTGGTATCCTCAGATTCTATTTTACTACTTATTGCTCCCTTAATCAATTGCTGCTTTCAGAAGATTTTCTTTTTATAGAAGAAAATGTGGTAGATTTCCTCTGGAATTCAAACTCACTCAAATCGTACCTCGTTTCTAGAATTTCCCATCATTTCTTCTTGACCATTCTACATTCTTTTGTTATTTAGACTATATCTTAATATCCATCTCCTCCAAAACTCATCTGTAACCATCTTAATTAAGTGATAAATAACCAGACATACTTATATGCAAATACATAAATAGGTATTCTTTTTTATTCTGCATTTTATGCATGTTGTTCTATTTAGTTTATTAATTTCATATGTGTTTGCCTACTAGATTGAAAGTTACTTAATGGCAGGAAAACCAACTAACAACCTATAACTGTCTTGGGGTGTCATATGCCCTGTGGACCCTAACTACAAGTGTACCGGATTTATCGATACCCACGTTGGTATTTTGGCAATATTCTCTGCTAATAGTATCTGAACATACAAAGAAAAAGTGATGATGTGAGGTTTACATCTGCTATCCAAAACTACCTTTTGTGTATTTTCTGTAGTAATACTATAGTATAGTATTGCGTAGCTTTGTGATAAACTTTTTGATATTTTGAAGGAGATGGAAGAGTAATAAGTCCTCCGCCTCGTAGTAAATCATCATGCATCTCATCCACAACAAATGTGACAGAACTATATGGGCTGGAAATGAAAACTGCCACGAGCTCCTTATCAGCATTTGGAGATTCTTCCATTCAGACATCTTCAAAGTCCAGAATCCGGCAGGGCTGTCATAGTGCTGGCCCAAATGTATCTGGTAATGAGGGACTATCATCTCAGTTACAAGAGAGTTAAAATTTAGTACCAAGAGTCAGGATTACAAAGGGTTGAAGATAGCACTAGTGTTCTGTACTTTCAACCAATCTTTAAGGCAAGGGAAATATTATTTGGCACACACAGAACACATAGTTTAGGTTTAAGGAGGAAAGAAACAAACTCAAATTTAGTAATTAATTTCAAATATAGAGAGCTATGGAAACTTTCTAGATAAGGTATTTGTAGGTGCCAAAGTTCTCCAAATATAAGGTGACTCTAATTTCAAGATTCTAAACGGTTTTTCTTAATCAAGTATTTGTATATCATTTTTAATAGGTGATCATATTAATTTGGTGAGCTCATCAATGCCATCATTTCCTATTCTCCAACGTTCTTCTGAAGAGAAAATTCTTTACTCAGACAGGTTGACCCTAGAAAGGTGAGGACAATTTATTTTATTTTCTTTTTTTGACTAGATAATACATAGACATGGTACAAGGTTTGAAAGATGTACAAGTCTGCCTCCCTCCTCCTGTTCCTCAGCTATCCATTTCTCCTATCTAGATATAGTCACTTTTTACCAATTTTTTGTTTATCCTTCCAGAAGTATGGTGAGAAATGTTATATCTATATAATCTAAAAGAGATTGACTATACTCCAAAAGAATACTATAGCAATTCTAAAATATGACATTGATG